CCTCCTCCCCTGCACAGTAGCTAGACGCACCACACCCCAGGAAACTTCCCACTGGGACAAGCACTCCCATCCCCCACAACCCCCATCCAGCTCCAAAAAGTCCTGGAGAGGAACACTGGTCCCAAACTCCTCAGAGACACCCTCACTGGGGAAGAGAGCCCAAGGCAACCCAGAGCTCACAGCCCGAAAATACCCCTAAGTGGCTGAGAGACCCCAACGCCCAGGAGGAAAGGGTGACTCCTGGACCCACAGTCCCCCCTTGCCCAGCCCACAGTCTCACCACAGGTCGACCCCCTGGTCATACTGGCGGGCACCGTACAGGAGCTCGGGGGCTCGGTACCACCTGCAAGAGAAGGATGGGTGGTTACAGCCAAGTCACCAGTCTGACCGGAGGCTGCCCCAGAAGGTCACCCTGGTCCCCATGCCCGCCTCATGAGCAATGTCTGGAGAGGCCCAGAAGCCTCTTTTCCGAGGGGGGGGCATGGGGCCTGTCCATTGCTAGTCCTGCCTGGGAACCGGCCCTCCCTACCTGGTGGCCACCTGGTGCGTATAGAGGCGGCTGCCGTCTGGGGAAAAGACCCGGGCCAGGCCGAAGTCCGCTATCTTGAGCTGGCCCGAGGCACTGATGAGCAGGTTGGCTGGTTTCAGGTCCTGAGAGCACCAAAGGAGGCATCAGTTCTTCCAGGGCCCCAAGAGGACCTTGGGGGCTGGCAGGCTGAGCACCTGGGTCAGCCCAAGTCCCCACCCCCCACCGCCCACCCCCGCAGGACCACACCCCAGAGGGCTTACCCACAGGCCCCGCCCCCTCAGTCCCCCTCTCTGGTCTTGTCTTCTTCAAGGGCCGGTCCACCCCCAATCCAACGGGCCCTCAGGCCCCACCCCAGCCCCTGCTGGGACTGACCCGATGCACGATGTTGTTGGCGTGGCAGAAGGAGACACCTTTAAGGAGCATCTGCAGGTAGCTCTTGACCTGTGCCTGGGCAAGCGGCCTCTGGGTGTGGCGCACCACCTCCGCCAGATCTGACAGCATGAACTCGAAGGCCAGCACAAAGCCTGCCCCGTGCGGGAATACGGCCTTCAGCTGCACCACCTGCAGGCAGGGCATCCGGTCAGCCCCCAGACGCATAGGGCTCAGACTCTCTCTGGAACCCCCAGCCCTTGCCACAGCAGAGGACAAGGCAGACAGAGGAGGTGACATAAGATCTGAATGGGGACCAAGGAGCTGGGTGCCCTCTTGTTGTTCCTGTCTCCTGAGAGAAAACAGGCTCCCACTCTAACACTCCACGCACACTCAGGGAAAAGGAGGTCTAAGGCCACTTAGGGCAACGTCTGGTTCCCCCACCCAGCCCACAAACTGGAAAATCAACTCACACACACACACACACACACACACACACACACACGAAGTCAAGTCTCATCTGGTTTCCTCTAGGGCAGCGATTCTCAACCTGCAGGTTGCGACCCCTTTGGGGGTTGAACGACCCTTTCACAGGGGTCACCTAAGACCATCGGAAAACACATATATAACTACATATTGTTTTTGTGATTAATCACTATGCTTTAATTAAGTTCAATTTGTAACAATGAAATTGGAGGTCACCACAACATGAGGACCTGTATTAAAGGGTCGCGGCATTAGGAAGGTTGAGAACCACTGACTTAGACCAAAACATTGTACCGTAGCTGATGGATGACATTT